TACGATTTCATGAAAGATCAGAACAGACGGAGAAATCGCCAGTCGGATTTACAAAGCCACGTAGCTATCGGTGATCGCAGACATAATGGACAGAAGCGTGGCATCAAAGCACTTTTTAGATCCCCCTCAAGTGCCCGCCTACGAAACTGGAAATTTTGGAGGACCGCGCTGAAGATGGACAAGCGTCTCACACCGCCGTAAAGAAGCCAGACGAATAGCCATTTCTACGGCACAAAGAGAGAGCCTGCAAGATCAAAGTGCTACGAATGGATGGCGTAAGCCCTCTACGCCCGCTATTGGGTCCACACTGTCAGCCTCGCTGGATACCCGTGGACCCAAAGCAATATGAAAACAATTACAAGTGCAACGGGTGGATGTTGGTGCTTCGGGTAATGATTCGCCCGTCTCAGTGCGATTGATTCACTAGTGAACGAGCAATCCAATCCCTGATATGCATGTGTGGTAACAGTGATAAGTGTTGTCTAGGTGAAGGTAGAGATGTCTCTTCTTATGGCAACACAGACCAAGGTCAACTAGGTAGTGCTAGCCATGAGAAAGTTTTTGGATGTGTAGGGTGTGCTTTGCATGTTGAAATTGTGATGAATTCTGTTGTCGAATGTGCGATTGTGACCGAGTAGACCCAAGTGGTGACCGTGTATGCCTGGGCAGTTGATACCGGCGTATACCAAGGCTCTATGCACAGATTCAGCAGTCTTTTTTCGGTATATTCGCTAGTGCGTGCTGTGCAAGTGCGACAACAGTGAGAAAATAGTTGTATCACGTCTGCATTGTTGGCAATAGTAAGATTTATGTGTCTGGCGGAAAGCCTGAAATGTTCTCACCGGTGATTGTAGTTGTCGTCGCAAAGGTTGGGGCTGAGAAGTGTGGCGGCGAGGGACACGTATCGGTAGTTTGCACCCAATATTGATGATATTTGTAGGGGTTGTGGTCTCACCGCAGGCGACTGATCAGCTAGGCGATGGCCTGTTGCTGGCACTGGGGGGTGAAAGTGAGGTTGACCCTCAGGGCGTTTATTTCCTCACTATAATCAATCTGGTGCGGTTGAAGGTATCGCGGTGCGTAAAAAGCCGTGGCTTAGAAGGTTGCC